CAGGGCACATGCATGGGTTGCAGGCCAGTTCCCAGCAGGGGACACATGAGAGGCAACCATACATTGATAAAAAAAAAATCTGTATTTACACACTCTTGTCAATAGTTACTACACTAGCTGCAGTCTTTTCAAAACACCATTAATGTACTGGCTCTTAGAACATTTCTGTTCATATATTCATTGAACAGCAAGAAATAGAAAGTAGATGTAAGCAATATTCACTCTTCTGATTATTAGGAAAAAAGTGAAACCTTTCAACAAGCCCCTAAGACATAGCACTTCCAGTTCAACACAATAACAATGGATCTATAACTACTCAACATTTAAAAAATTATTTAGTCTTTGGATTGGGAATCCCAAACCCATTGCCCAGCAAGTCCCACTCCCTACTTCTCCATACCTCTCTAGGGGAGGAAACTAAGAAATTCTGGTCCCCTGGGGATATGGAGAGATCAACACAAGTAACTCCCTGCCACTTCTTCATTCATCCTTCTTCTCCTAGGTAGGTCGTAGCTGAAGAAATTTGCAATGTGTCAATGGATCAGGCTGTCTAATCTCTCCTGAGTCCTCACTACTCCTTGACAATCATTTTAACTTACAATGCATTCACCTGAACAGCTCTGACAAACCTTTACTTTTTTCATCTATACACTCCCTACCTACAAACCAGGCACACGTCTCCTTACTCTAGCATACTTTTCAACCTAGGTGATGGAGCAAAAACCCACCTGAGAAAGTTTTTGCAAATGATGAACCACTGATATTGCTGCTGCCTCCCTTTTACCTCAAAATTCTGAGGTACCTATTTGGGAGAACAAGCCAGAATCTCACAGAGAGGCATGTGTATTTGAAAAGATGACCTTGGGAATACAGACCTAATTCTTACTCATTTCTGTCCTAGAACATAACCTGGTGCTTAATACAGTAGGCTCTCAGCAAAGACTCTAAATGAATATACAAAGCTCTGATATAGTTTATTTAGGTAATCAATCTCACCATCACCAAATCCCAATGTCCCTTGTTAGTTTGGAGTCTGTAGCATTTTCACAATGTTGAGGCAATATGCTATAGTTATTGAAAGCATAGGCTCTGAAGCCAGATTAGTGGGGTGGAACTGAACGATATTACAAACCAGGAGCTCTGAAACTGTGGGCAGAAGTAACTGAACCTCTCTGTAACTTCCTCACCTGTAAAAAGAGAGAATAAGAGCACCCACATAACAAGGTATTGTGAAAATGAAATTTTAGTACATGTAAAGAGCTTGGAAGAGTGTTCAGAATGTAGCAAACACTTCATAAAAGTGAGGTAACATTTTCATCTGAAGCCCAATGTCTGAATTTGAATCCTGTTTCTGGTATACACTAACTAGCCTGTGACCAAAGGCAAATTCCTTGATCTTTTTCTGCCTGTTTCCTTATCTATAGAATGAGGAGAAGATAGTATGTATGTCACTGATTGTCATGAGGAAGAAAAAATGTGCAAAACATGTATTACAATGTCTTGTACATTAAGTGCTCGATAAATGGTAGCTATCGTTTGTCCGTCTCATATATATTTTGGCTGCTGAAGTTGGTTTGCTGTGGCCCTACCCTGGTGTGTGCGTGGGTCCAATCAGCTACGTTCCATCAAATGAGATCCTGACCAGCTCCAACCTTTCTCACAGACAAGGCATTCTTAACCTAATGGCCATAGTGAGCTTTAGAAAAATTATATTCAAAATTAAGTATAAATGAATCATCTGTAGTTCTCTGAGGCCATAGCTTTTATCAGTTCAGTAAGTATATGACTCCAAACAGATTTTTAGAAACAAAACCAAACCTACTACCTTAACATTATCACTACTGTTTTTCATCTTTTTTCTCTTCTTAAATGATTTCTACATCTTTCCCTGGATCTATAATTAAAATTACAGTACTATAAAGTCTCTTCCTGCAATGTTATTGTCATATAATACTTCCCATTTTCAATACTGCCATGTTATTTCTCTAGAAGAATTGTAATATTACTTTCTCTGTTCAAAAACATATTGTCCAAGATCCAATTATCTTAGGTGGGCATTCAATCCTCTATGACTCGATTATAATTTGCCTTTCCAACCTTGTCCCCCATAAACAGTCCTGAAGGGGTCACTTGCTATTGCAGAATTCCATGCAGCTTTCCTCCTTATCTAACTCTACTCTATCTAGAATGTCTTTAACACCATTTTCTCTAGTAAATCAACCTTCTTCTTCAACAGTGACTATCTTTAATAATAAATATATTTAATTCCCCCTGCTAAACAGTAAATTCTTTGAGAACAGAGAACAAGGCTTTCTTTACTTTTATATTTTCAATTTTTCCTCGTACCATGATTTATGATGAGTTTGAATAAATATTCCTTCTCTGGCAATCTTTTCTTTTTTTCTAATTTATTAAATGTTTTTCTTTTCTTTTTAAATATATTTTATTGATTATGCCATTACATTTGTTCTATTTCCCCCCTTCATTCCCTTCCACCCTGCACACCCTTTAGTTTATGTCCATGTGTCACAAGTTCTTTAGATTCTACATTTCCCATACTATTCTTGCCCTCCCCCCTGTCTATTTTCTACCTACTGTCTATGCTACTTAATTTCTGTACCTTCTCTCCCCCTTCTTCTCCCACTCCCCTGTTGCTAATCCTCCATGTGATCTTCATTTCTATGGTTCCGCTCCTGATCTAGCTGTCCTCTTAGTTTGCTTTTGTTTTAGGTGTGGTTGTTAATAACTGTGAGTTTGCTGTCCTTTCACTGTTCATCTTTTTTACCTTCTTTTTCTTAGGTAAGTCCCTTTAACATTTCATATAATAAGTGATGATGAGCTCCTTGAACTTGACCTTATCTGAGAAGGACTTTATCTGTCCTTCCATTCTAAATGAAAGCTTTGCTGGATAGAGCAATCTTGGATGTAGGTCTTTGGATTTCATGACTTGGAATACTTCTTTCCAGCCCCTTCTTGCCTGGAAGGTCTCTTTTGAGAAATAAGCTGACAGTCTGATGGGACCTCCTTTGCAGGTGACTGTCCCCTTATCTCTTGCTGCTTCTAGAATTCTCTCCTTCATTTTAATCTTGGCTAATATAATGATGATGTGCCTTGGTGTGTTCCTTCTTGGGTCCAACTTCTTTGGGAGTCTCTGAGCTTCCTGGATTTCCTGGAAGTCTATTTCCTTTGCCAGATTGAGGAAATTCTCCTTTATGATTTGTTCAAATAAGTTTTCCACTCATGGATGTTCCTCTTCCTTTTCTGGTACTCCTATAATTTGGATGTTGGAACATTTCAAGATGTTCTGAAGGTTCCTAAGCCTCTCCTCATTTTTTTGCATTCTTGTTTCTTCATCCTTTTCTGTTTGGTCATTTTTTTCCTCTTTCTGGTCCACTCCTTTGATTTGAGTCCCAGTTTCCTTTCCATTACTATTAGTTTCCCATGCATTTCCATTCATTTCAATTAGTTTAGCCTTCATTTATTCCTCTAATTTGTGACTAAAATCAACCAGTTCTGTGAGGATCGTGATAACCAGTGTTTTGAACTGTGCATCTGAAAGTTTGGCTATTTCATCATCGCTTTGATTTCTTGGCTCTGGGGCTCTGAGTTGTTCTTGAGCCATGTTTTGCACTGTTTGTGCCTGTTAGGTATGAGGAGCGGAGCCTTAGATGTTCACCAGGGCGGGGACACCCAGGTTGTTGGTTTGTGATGCTGTATGTGGGGGCAGGGTCAGAGAGGGACAATGGGGGTTCCCGCTGCCACTTCCTGCTACTGGGGCCTTTGAGGTCTGTCTCACCACTACCTCCTTCACCAGTTTCTCTCTCCCACAAATGTGTGACCATGGTCAGCCCTCAGTGGGTCCACCCGCTTCTCCACACCTAGGATCCACCCACGGCTGCCAGCGTGCCTGGGTCACGTGCCAGGGTCGGTCCGGTGGATCTTTCCTGCCCAACCTCGCTGTGCTGCTGGCTCTGCCCCTACTAGTTTGGCTGAAGGGTTTGTTGTTGTCAGACTTCCGTGTAGTTCAATTTTCGGTGGTTTGGCTACATTTTTGTTGCTAAAATTTTGTTGTTTTTAAACTTGGTTGTGTGAGAAGGCACAGTGCTTCCACCTATGCCTCCATCTTGGCAGAAGTCCCTCTGGCAATCTTTTCAAAGTTAGAGACAGAATATTCTAACCTACCATATTCCAATGATTTCTAGATATTCGTTCCATTTGAAACACCAAATTTCAACCTGTAATCTAAAGCTTTCAAAAGGCAAAAACTGCTATGTCATAATATTCCTATAATTTCAACACACTGTCAGTTATAGTTATGCCCCAAAGAAGATGGTTATAGCATTATAAAGCTTAAGTGGACAACAGATTTCCAAATCACATACATAATGATGGTAATTCTATCACTGAAGACTTACAGAAGAGTAACAGAAACCATTTCTTCCTCTCTTCAATTATCTATGTTCTATGAGCTAAAGCCGTGTTATTATCTCAGTTAATTACCTAGAAACAGTCAAGGCTCAGTGACTGACAGAAGAAGGTTTCACTCCAAAGTTCCTAAATCAGGATAAGTTCCCTAGATCAGTGGTTCTCAACACTTGCTGCACTTTAGAATCCTCTGAAAAGTTAAAAAGAATGGATTCCTGAGCCTCCATCAAGACTGGTTAAATTAGACTTAGGGAATGTTGATGAAAGCTGGAATTGTTTTAAAACCCCCCCAGTAGATTCTAGTTTACAGCCAGGGCTGAGAACCACTGCCCTAGACTGGTTCAAAATCTTGTGTACCTTCACAGTTAACATAAAAGATTATCTTTTAAGATAAACTTAAGCTCGATGGAATGGATGCAATTTACTCTGACTTGCTGGCTTGGGCTTATATGTAAATATTTATTCTTGAATTTAAAAAGCTGCTATCTTTTTTGGGAGGTGAGGCATTACCAAGAAACTCACAATAGGATTCTTGGGCTGATTTTTCTACCACCTCACAGGATCTGTGTACTTACACTCCTCTTTACTTGGTGAAGTTACATTCAGTTCTGTCAGAAGCGGCTGCTGGCTGGGACTAAGAGTTGGCGTGGTTATCGAGGTATTGTTGTTGTCACTGGTGGTCTCTCCAGAAAACAAATCTGATTGGCTGTTACTTGTACTTGGAGTGGAATCATCGTCTGGTTGTTTCTTTTGAAAATCTGAAGAGAAAAAGTAAGAACACTAGTATAATGAGGAAGTTCATAATCTCCTTGAGTATTAGAAAATAATGAAAGTATAAAAATGAAATTAATAGCATTAATAAAGAATAATTTGGGTGATTAAAAAATGAAAGTAAAATACTGATCAAAAATATGTCATTTTTGAGATTATACTAGAGATTAACTAGAGTGAAAGCTTTCCAAAGTTTCTCATCTTGTTTAGAACAATGGTAGGTAGAATGCTGATTTTAACAAAAACTTTTTGCAAAGCAAAATGCATATTGAAATTTTGGGGGTAATCAATATAAAGTGGAAAAATACAGAGAAGTTGTTCAAACAAACAAAACACAGGTAAAAAGATTTTTAAAAACTGCAGAAAACAAAGCAGGGTAAATAGAAAACATATAATAAAATCCCAGTACAAACACACCAGTAATGGTAATGAACGTAAACACAATAAACTTAGCAGTTAAAAGGTGGAAAGTTCAGATTAAAAAAACAAAGTCTTGTTCCTTGCAGTTTACAAAACATATCAAAAACATCAATGAGGATACAGAAAACTTTATAGTGTATAAAAATGTACCTGAAAATACATGATTAAAAAGCAAAAGGTAATGCCCTGATCAGTATGACTCAGTTGGTTGGGTGTCGTCCTGCAAAGTGAAAGGTCACAGGTTTGATTCCCTATCAGAGCAACTGGCTGGGTAGTAGGTTCAGTCCCCAGTCAGAATGAGTACGAGAGGCAACCAATCAATGTTTGTCTTTCACATCAATGTTTCCTTCCCTCCCTTCCCTTCTCTCTAAAAAATAAACAACATCTTTTTTAAAATATTAAGACTTCCAGCCAAAATGGAGTAGTAAGTGGAAACACTGTACCTCCTCACACAACCAAGTTTAAAGACAACAAAGTTTTAGTTATTAAGACTTCCAGCCAAAATGGAGGAGTAAGTGGAAACACTGTACCTCCTCGCACAACCAAGTTTAAAGTCAACAAAGTTTTAGTAACAAAAACACAACCAAAACACAGAAAACTGTCTGGAAGTCTGACAACAATGAACCATTCAGCCAAACCAGTAAGAGGGGCAAAGTCAGCGTCTGGCGGAGCTGGTTGGGAAGAAAAGAGCAGCCACCAGACCCAGATGCACAGGCGATAAGTGACCAAGAGATAGCGAACCTATCAGATGCACAGTGCAAAACACTGGTGATCAGGATGCTCACAGAACTGGTTGATTTTAGTCACAAATTAGAGGAACACATGAAGGCTAAACTAAGGGAAATGCACAGGAAACCAACAGTAATGGAAAGGAAACTGGAACTCATATCAAGGGAGTGGACCAGAAAGAAGAAAAAAAAAGGACCGAACAGAAAGAATGAAGAAATAAGAATTCAAAAAAAATGAGGAGAGGCTTAGGAACCTCCAGGACATCTTTAAACACTCCAACAACCGAATTATAGGGGTATCAGAAGGGGAAGAGGAACAGCCACCAGTGGAAAACTTATTTGAACAAATCATAAAGGAGAATTTCCCCAATTTGGCAAAGGAAATAGACTTCCAGGAAATCCAGGAAGCTCAGAGACTCCCAAAGAAGTTGGACCCAAGAAGGAACACACCAAGGCATATCATCATTACATTAGCCAAGATTAAAATGAAGGAGAGAATTCTAGAAGCAGCAAGAGATAAGGGGACAGTCACCTGCAAAGGAGGTCCCATCAGACTGTCAGCTTATTTCTCAAAAGAGACCTTCCAGGCAAGAAGGGGCTGGAAAGAAGTATTCCAAGTCATGAAATCCAAAGACCTACAACCAAGATTGCTCTATCCAGCAAAGCTTTCATTTAGAATGGAAGGACAGATAAAGTCCTTCTCAGATAAGGTCAAGTTCAAGGAGCTCATCATCACCAAGCCCTTATTATATGAAATGTTAAAGGGACTTACCTAAGAAAAAGAAGGTAAAAAAGATGAACAGTGAAAGGACAGCAAACTCACAGTTATTAACAACCACACCTAAAACAAAAACAAAAAGGAACTAAGCAAACAACTAGAACAGGAATAGAACCACAGAAATGGAGATCACATGGAGGGTTAGCAACAAGGGAGTTGGAGGAGGAGAGAGGGGGAAAAGGTACAGAGAACAAGTAGCATAAATGGTAGGTAGAAAATAGGGGGAGGGTAAGAATAGAATAGGAAATGTAGAAGCCAAAGAACTTACGTGTATCACCCATGGACATAAACTAAAGTGAGGAATGTGGGTGGGAGGGGGTGTGCAGGGCAGAGGAGAGTGAAGGTAGGGAAATGGGACAACTGTAATAGCACAATCAATAAAATGTATTTAAAAATAGAAAAAAGAAAAACAGAAGGAAATAGTCTAACAATAAAATATTTATGTATCAATAAGCACCATAAATATAAATGGCTTAAATGCTCCAACCAAAATACAGCATGAATGAATGGATAGAAGAGAAGATCCATATATATGTTGCCTCCAAAAGACCCACTTCAGATCAAAAGATACACAGAGTAAAGGTAAAGGGATGGAAAAAGATATTTCTTACAAATGTAAAGAGAAAAAAAAAACTGACGTAGCACAGTTATGTCCAACAAAATAGACTTTAAAACTAGGGCTATAGCAAGGGACAAAGAAGGACACTATATAATGATAAAGGGAACAATCCAACAAGAGGATTAAGCCTAGTAAGCATTTATGCACCCAAAACAGGAGTACATAAATATGAGAAGCCAATCTTGATGGACATAAAGGGGAGGGAGATACAGAAATACAGTCACAGTTGGGGATTTTAACACTGTTGATTTCAATGGATGATCCTCCAGACAGAAAATCAACAAGGAGACAGTGGCCTTAAATGACACATGAGGTCAAATGAATTTAGTTAGTATTTAGAGCATTATTTGCCAAAGCAGCAGAATATATATACTTTTCAGTGCACAAGGAACATTTTCTAGGATAGACCACACGTTAGGACAGAAAACAAGTCTTTACCGAGTCTCAGTAAGTCTCAAAACAAGTCTCAATAAATTACCCTGGCTGGTGTGGCTCAGTGGATTGAGCGCCAGACTGCAAAGCAAAGGGTCACTGGTTCAATTCCCAGTCAGGGCACATGACTTGGGTTGTGGGCCCAGTTCCCAATAGGGGGCACATGAGAGGCAACCACACATTGACGTTTCTCTCTTTCTCCCTCCTTTTCCCTCTCTCTAAAAATAAACAAAATCTTTTTTTAAAAAGTCTCAATAAGTTTAAGAAGATTGAAATCATTATCAAGCACCTTCTCTGACCACAATGATATGAAAGTAGAAATCAATCAGGGAAGAACACTAAAAAACACACAAAGACACAGAAGCTAAATAACATGTTATTAAAGAATGAATGGGTCAACAATGGGATCAGAAAATAAGTTAAAAGATACCTTGAAACAAATGAAAAGGAGAACACAACGACGCAAAATTGGTGGGACACAGGGACGCAGTCCTAAGAGCAAAATTCATAGCATTACAGGCCTATCTCAAGAAACAAGAAAAAGCTCAAATAAGCAATCTAACTTTACATTTAAAGAAACTTGAAAAAAGAGTAGTAAAGCCCAAAGTGAGAAGAAAATAATAAAGATCAGAGCAGAAATAAATAAAATAGAGTCTAAAACAGATATAAAAGATCAATGAATCCAAGAGTTGGTTATTGGAAAAGATGAAGATCGACAAACCTTTAGCCAAACTCATCAAAAAAGAGAGAGGACCGAAATAAAATCGTAAATTAAAAAGGAGAAAAAACAACCAACAAATAAATACAAAGTTTTGCAAAGAAATACAATATCGTATGTATTCCAAAGAAATACAAAAATTGTACTGAAATATTATGAACAACTATATGCGAACAAACTGGACAACCCGGAAGAAGTGAATAAATGCCTAGAAACATAAACTCTTTTGAAACTAAATCAGGAAGAAGGAGAGAATCTGAATAAGCATTTGATAAAAGCAAGCACCCCTTTATGATAAAAAAAAAAAAAACACCTAGTAAAATTGAAGCAGTAATCAAAAAACTCCCAACAAACAAAAGCCCTGGACCAGATGGCTTCACAGGTGAATTTTACCAAACATTCTGAGAAGAACTAATTCCTCTCCTTCTCAAATTATTTCATAAAATGCAAGAGGAGGGAAGGCTCCCAAACTCATTTTATGAGGCTAGCATTTTTCTAATTCCAAAACCAGGTAAAGACACAACAAAGAAAATTATAGGCCAATGTCCCTGATCAACCTAAGACGTTAAAATTCTCAACAAAATATTAGCAAACTGAGTAAGACAATGCATCAGAAAGATCATATACCATGATCAAGTGGGATTTATTCCAGAAATGCAAGATTGGTACAACATCTGCAAATCAGATACACCACATGAACAAAATGAGGAATAAACACCACACAATCATATCAACAGATGCAGAAAAAGCATTTGGTAAAATCCAGCACCCATTTATGATAAAAAAAACTCTTAGCAATGTGGGATTAGAAAATTGAATCAGGACACAGAGACGGCCAACAGACATATGAAAAGATGCTCAACGTCACTAATTATCAGATAAATGCAAATTAAAGCCATAATTAAGATATCATCTCATACCGGTCAGAATGGCTATCATCAATCAACAAACAACTGCTGGTGAGGATGTGCAGAAAGGGGAACCTTTTTGCACCATTGGTAGGAATGCAAACTGGTACAACCACTGTGGAAAGCAGTATGGAGATTCTGCAAAAAATTAAAAATGAATCTCTCTCTACCTTTCATCCCAGCTATACCACTTCTGGGAATGTATATGAAAGAACCTAAAACATTAACTCAAAAGAACATAAGCACCCCTATGTTCACTGCAGTGTTATTTACAATCACCAAGATATGGAAGCAGCCCAAGTGTCCATCAGTAGATGAGTGGATAAAACAAGCATGGGACATTTACATGATGGAACAGTATTTGACCATAAAAAAGAAGAAAAA